GTTTCGGCCTCCATGAGCGAGAACCAATCAGAATTGGATTTTTTTTTAGGCCACTTTCAGCCCAATCCTGGCCCAACCAAAAGTGAGTTGTCGTAACTCTGGGTATAAAGGGACTCTAATTCAATCGTGTAACTGCTGTTTAAAGTGACTTTGAAGGTCACCGCTCAACAACGCATCGGTGACTCCCACATTAAGCCAATATTAAGGTCCACTTTCACCGTGTATGTGGGGCTAATGTCGAAGGTTACAGGATCAAATCTCAAGCGTCCAGCCCACGGTCAAACTAGGGGCTCTCAAACCGTCTCAAACTGGCACTAATTCTTCTATTTCTCAGCCATTTCTGCACGGAATGCCTTGAAAATTTCAAGATCTGATCTGTGATGTATCCCGAACACATCAGTTACCCTCAAAGATCGTCGGCCCGACGATCTTTAAGGACGCAACAGTCAACAGTTCCATCGATGAGCCTCTTTGAGGCCCCTAGTTTGACCGTGGGCTGGACGCTTCAGCCAGGGCGAAACGGAGTTCTTCATCAGGATACCAGAGGGAGCGCGAAGCGCGTCAACTACGTGAAGGAAATCATCCCCGGCAGTACAAACGATAAGGGTATGCGCTTCAACGGGTGTGGACACTAGGCGGGGAGCCGCTTCCCAAGGCAGCGACGCGGCGGAACCGGCCGTCTCCTAATTTTAAGGAAATGCTTGCAGCCACTGTTTCCTTTTTTTTTTAGGAAACGTTTCCTGAAAACAACACAACACTTACTTACTTTTAGGAAACTCCTCGCGCGGCGGTGTTTCCTAATTTGAAGGAAACGTTTTCGTGCTTCAATGTAACAGGAGTTTTGGTTCAAGAAATCGCGTTTTCGTCGACCAAGGCAATACCGTTTTCTTCATTCAAGACTTCGTTTCTTGTCCACTTTTTTCAAGTATCCAATTTTCTTAGGTCAACACGGCGTCGCCTTGAATTTAGGAAACGTTTTTTTCAGTGTGGAGGGGCTTATTTCCTCAACTCCCTCATGGTTGGAAATAACAAAACACACTCAACACATAACCTTCAATATTCACGTGCACTTCCAGAATTTTAAAAAACCAAACAAGTTAAGTCACTGTTGTCAGGGTTGTACAAATATGTTCACTAACCCATTTGAACTCTTATGAAAAATTTGTATTGGGCCTCTGGCTCGGCAACAATGCTAGGCCCTGCCGATTTAATCGTGTAACTGCTGTTTAAAGTGACTTTAAAGGTCACCGCTCAACAACGCATCGGTGACTCCCACATTAAGCCAATATTAAGGTCCACTTTCACCGTGTATGTGGGGCTTATGGACAGATCGCTTCATG